CGAGCAGATCGACATTATGTTCTATGAGCAGCCGAGGCTATGCATGGGACTAAATCCAGAGAACCGAAGGGTTGTAAGGGCGAGCAAGTCAGATGAGGAGAAGAGATTCAGGGAGTTTGCGCACGTCAGCGAGAAGAACCAGGCTGTTATGGAGGAGAGAATCAGCCAGAGTGATTAGACACAACCCGTAAGGCACACAAGGGCATGTAAAGGAAGAGCTAGTCCACTGAAAAAGCCTACGGACGAATGAAAGCAACTTTGAATGAACTGCGAGCAAACAGCTGCGCTTCTCCTGCGACTACTTGAGCTCATCGTTCTCTTTGTCCGCTTCTTTCATCATGCCACCGTTGAGGTTTTCGTCCAAAACTAGGGCTGGAGTTCGTGCGCAAGAATCTTTTCATGCTCAAGCGCCTTGATAGCCCAAGCTGTAGGCACGCCCCGATTTCCAATCCGCTTATGGCTCCTGCCGAACCGACACACCCACCCAATTTCCCAACCCCCATCACATTCTTGCAACTCTTTGAGGTATTCGAGGTCAGGCTGGACCCACACACCAAGCTTCTGGCATGCTAAGACACGCGCAGCAACAGCGAAAGAATCTCCGCGGCGACCGACGTATCCTCGGAGCGCGGCAGCTATCGGCTCTTTGAGTGATTGAATCTCAGGCGCAGTTGTGTTCGCCTCTACAAGGCAAGACAAAAAGTATAAGAATGTCTCAGCAGAGAGATACATGTCCGTACCATCGATATAAGCGCGATTTAGAAGGATGCGACGAATGTAATCAAGCTCGAGTTTGACATCAGCGCCGCGGTTGTACTTGTAGAAAACTCGAATGACATTGGTAATGACGATCGGATCCAAACGAGGTCGCTTGTCGCAGAAGTACGTCAAGACAAGGCCGTCTTGTGCGTGCCTGTTTTGAAGCATATGATCCAGTACTGGGTTGGCCGAAGAGGCGGGCGGCGAAAACACAAGCAAAGCGTTGGCAGTGTCATCGACATCATCAGGGACTAGATGCCATTGCGAGATTAGTATGGGTTGAATACACTTAGCATGCGAGATATCTTACAGGTCTTTGTCGTACCAATAGGAGGGCCGTTAAAGTAGTTCCATATCTTAGCTTCCTTGCTCGCTTGCTCAATCGTTGCATTGATCTCCGCAGCATCGGTGTTAGGAGGCGAAAGACTGAGGAGGCTTGCGTCTTCGAGCTCCCAATGAATCATGAACTGAGAGAAAAACTCATTTAGCTCAGGTCCGTCTTCGATGCGAGAGACATGTTTGCCGGCATTGTCAGTCATGTATCGACGCGCTCGTGTTACGGGATCGAACAGCTGGTTGCGCAACTGACGCATCAGAGCGCCTGGGGACTCGAATACGATGCCCTGCATACCGAATGAGCGCGCTGTATTGACTTGTCCGCGCTTGTCATCGACGAAGATCACAGATGTTGGATCGCGACATCCAATGCTGTCCAGCACATGCTCGAAAAAGCCGAGCTCAAACTTCGTCATACCCGCCTCGAAAGACGTGAACACGCCGTCGAATAAGCTCCAGTCAGATAGCACAGCCTGGAGGCGCGCAAAGTCTTCCCTTGCGATATTGCTCATTGCGTAAACCTTGAGCCGCCCATTCATCTCTGCTTTGAGCTTTTTGAGCCTCTCGATGAGGTTGTTATCGACGCATAAAGTTCTGCGACATTGCGTAAGTGCTTCGCTTATCATTCCAGGATCAATTGAGAGTTGCTCTCCTATAATCTTCAGAGCTTCTGCCTCTTCGAGATGGTCGCGCTCCAACTCCGCCCATGTTGGAGAGAGGATAACAGAGTGGAAAATTTGCGGGGAAAGGACGGTAAGATCGCGAGAAGACCAGTGGAATAGGACGTCGCCGAGATCAAGGATTAGCGTCCGCTGCTGTTGTGACTCCATTGGGACCATCGTGGTGTAGTCGGTTGTTGCTTGTAGTATGGAACGAAGAGGTGAGTGTTTTCGTCTTCAGCTTGAAGGCAGAGGATACTGGTAGTACGTTTCCCCCCTGATCGTGAAAAGAAGATTATATTATTGCCTCACCAAAGTCAGGTGATATGCAGGGCGTAACCATGATTGGAGACAAGACCAAGATCCTATTTTTACATCACTGGAGGTTACGTTCTATCGCAACACTTGCTCGCTGACTGCAGATGCAGAACAAAAACGAATATCTATCAGCCAATCGGCCCCCGGATATGTGACCTGATTAATACTTTTGATCGCTCTGCTTCTAGGGGAAGCCACTGTCGATCCAGTGGATCATTAAGAGAGCCAGTGCAGTAGCATTTGGGCGAAAGTGGCTGGGTAAACATTCCCGGGATAGACGACGCTGAAACCAGAACCACTCTGGAACCTTACATGGGTGTTGTTGTGCTGGATATGAGAATCCGAAGTGTCTATCTCTAAGGAGCGTCATCTCCCTACGATAATGAGTTTCTTCTTACATGAATTCGATCGACTCGTCTCTGATGGGTACATCTTGCTTTTCTCTGGACTCTTGCAGCCAGATATGGTCCCTGCGTAATACTCGCAGATGGCATGCACATGTACAATGAAACGTGGCCTATTTCGTCACTTGAGTTACGGTAATCTGCAAAGTACCATACAGTGAGTAACTGCTGGAAGTGAGCTCCCTATATAGCTGTATAGGTGCTTCATCGCGAGCTCAGATCGAGACAACGTGCTGGCGATGGTCAACGCGCTAGGGTGAAGTGCTCGTATGTCGCCTGGCGTCTGATGTTTGTGTACTAGAAAATGTATACAGCCGTGGGAAGGACAACCTGCAAATGCAGTATCAAGACTTCGATGATTCTCATTCATGATAGTATTGTTCTGGAATCGTAAGCTCAGCGATCGTCTCGGATCTTCACGATAGCAGTGGTGTACACGGTGTAGGATCAAGATGCACACTGATGTGAAAACAGGGAGAAGAAGAACTTCCGCGAAGCATTCTGACGTCATGGAGCTGGGATAGTGATGGAGTTCGCCCTTGGGTGGTGCCGGAACTTGAGCATGTGTGTGAAGGGCGATAAGCCTCATTCGGCAGATATGCCGCACACCACCGCCCCATCATCCGCATGAGTAGAATGAATGCCCACAACCATGCCTGCTAGCTGTCATGGAGCTTTTTCGGCTACACCATAAATGTTGACAGCAAGTCTGGTGTTTACGTAGGTACAAAAACAATAACGGTTTCACATCTCTTGGTTGCCACTCCCAGCCACCTCTATGACGATGAACACTACGTCATCAACAACACGTATGATTTTGCCTAAGGTTTGTGGCATTGATGAAGATGCTACTTCACATGAATTGCCAAAGAAAATATGATCAAAAACAAACGCGCGTCACCCAAGATATGTTGTACGGTGTCACATTTTCGAATCCCGTCGGCACCGTACCTCTTGGCCCTGAGGGTAATGCCTATGGTAAGAGAATATTCTCAAAGCAGTGGTTCATGTGCCAGTACGAAAGATCATGGGGCATATATGATGACCTAATTCCGTTAAGCCGAGGATATTCTTTCTGACAGAGCAGTCTCTTACCTGTCTCTTTGGCTACCCAGTACCTTCGCATCGAATGTACGCAATGCGAGATGTGAAAGTACTTGTCAATCAGCATGTCATTCTCCTCCGGCCGTGAAAGGTAGTCTGCATCTAAATATAGTCCTCTTGCTTTGACAGCATCAACCTCAGGATATCTCTCGCTGAGCCAAGCCTGATATTCCGCCTCTTCTGGAGTGAGCAATTCCTTTGGATAGATAGACCCATCATCGATTCTCAAGAACCGCTTGGAATCCAGCACATCATCCTCATTGGAAGCCCACTGGCTTACATTTTGCGGCTTCAGTTGCAGCTGATATTGCGGTCCGTTGCTGCCGACGACCTCATCGAAGCGACGCCACGGGTGCCTCTGCCCTGGGAGAAAGAGCGCGCTAAGGGAGAGAAGTATGATGACGAACAAAGCGAGAGATAGATATCTGATCAATCGACTTCCGACGGGCTGCAATACCATCGTGTCTGGCTCCCCGTCGATGGAGGTGTCGTAAGAGCTGCGCATGGGTATCGGGAAATATGGTCTCCAAGTTACAGATGTGTCGACTGACCCAGGCTTCTCTAGGGAACAATATTCTTTCTCAGTTGGCGAAAGCAGAACCGAACTTTCCGCATGGAATTTCGATGCAGTCATGGCGAACGTAATGCCGGATGCTGCACTGAACAGGAAAGCGACACCTTCGGACTTTGAACGCGAATAGACGACCTCTGCAACTTGAGAAATCGCTTCTTTCAGAGACCACTCTGATTCCTCTGTCGCTAGTGCGGCACAGACAAGGAACAAGGATGCTCTCATTTCTCGAACAACAACACATGAAGCAGAATTGCGACTTGTGCAGTATTCGACAAGCCTTTCTAGAGTGCAGCTGGTGTTGGGGTGCATGTCGTCAAGGCAGCAGACGACATCCACGCATGCAGTATTTACTGAGGCGATCATGTCAAGTGCTGCTGAAGGTAGAATGAGACGTGATACGTAACGAAAAAGAAGGTGAAGAGGCTATGAAGTTGAAAACAAGATGATCTGGGGATGCTTGAGACTATGTCGCAGTGTTTCCATCAGCCGACTTCCACCAAACGAACACTGGGCTTCGAAAGTCAGCAATTACTTCCGCTATCTCACTGCATTTCCACGCATCAATCTATACGACCTTTGATTTGCGGTTCTGGCATGTCTCCCGTCACCTGAGAACTTGCACTAGATCATCGCAGATCGTGCAAGTTCGCGCTTTACAGCAGTCGAGTATCGCAAGGGACTAGCGCTTGCGCCACAAGACTGCAGGTGCAAGGATGACCTCCGGGCGTAAGCAACACTCAGGATCACCCACTAGGCACTATCTTCTCTCGTAGTGACATTTATCTCCGTCCTTGTTTCTGTAACTCTGGACCCTCTTCATATCACCCCAACGTTCCGTCACACATCATGACTGCAGAAGCCGATCAGCCCGCGCTTACAGCTACTGGTAGTACCTCATTCTACACGCATTCAACAGCTTTGTCCACCCATGGTGCAAGCAGCTTATGCATCACTTCTCTAACATATCCCCACCTGCATCTTCGACTTCCTAGCGCGGAGGATGCTGCTGCACTTCTACGCCTCTTCACTGACTATCGTAATATCCAGTACGACAAGTCATGTACCGGGCTGGATAGTGCTGAAGCTATAGATCATCTGATCAAGCAATGGCAGGTCGTCAATTTACCATTGCAGCGAGCCAACATTGTCGTCGTGATTGACGGAAAGACTGTCGGCACCGGCGGCTTGGGTTGGATTGGCAGGAGGAAGAGTGATGGAAAGCTGATAGGCGATGCGGGGTTGATGTTGGAGACGGACTTTCGTAATTCAGGCTATGGATACGAGTCGTTATGCATGGTCATTGACCATGGCTTTTGCGTTCTGGGCATGGACGAAGTGCACATAGCTTGTGTAGACGCTAATGCTGCGTTCAAGGGTCTGATGAACAAAAAGTTAGGGTTTCAAGCTGAAAGGATAGAAGACAAGATGTTCGGAAATGAATGGATCTGGCGCATAACGAAAGAGGTATGGGCAGAGAGTCCGCACTCTGCTCAAGGTCGAGCTTGACTTTGGGCGGACTAACAAGGATCATTGTAGGAGTTCACTGGTGGGAGTTACATCAGTTCACGCATATAACCACGTCTCATGTAAATTTCAGAAGCACTCCTCAATGTTGTTAACAAGATTCAGTAGATTAGCTTGTTAGGAAAAGAAAAGAATGAATGACCAGGCAAATTCTTGTGTAGTTCATGATGATCGTGCAGTAGAATTCAATTAAGGACAACGAAATAGCGTATCAGTAGATATATGTTGGTAGCTTTGTTGGGTGCGCATTATAGTTTTCAAGAACCCGTGCGTTGAAGCCCAACAGCGTAGAACCATCAAACGTGAAAGTAATGCTTTATTTTTCGATCTGCATGATTGACAACCGCACGTGTGTATCCCATATCGGTGCGCCGTTGGGGAGAGCACGTCGCAAGTAAGCGTGAAACGCACAACGTGCACATAAAGTCTCACGTTCCCCGCATCCTCCTGGCAGGCGTCCTTTTCGTACTTCACCCCATCACAACACCATGATTTCAACATCGCTGATAAAAAACAATATTTCCAAGGCTGCGAGCAAGGCGGACGCTGTTCTCCAGAGCAATGCTGGTGTAATACTGATGCTTTCAGCCCAAATATGCTCCACGATCCTAGCAACATTGGGACGCGTCCTACGAACGGATGGCAGCAGCGGCTCGGACACCAAATCGATTGGCACTTCCGAAGTATGGCAACTCGATATTAGTCACCAGCTTTTTGTATTGATGGCTTCCAGATACTCATCGCAATGATGCTAATAATCACCATTCTTTCCTGGACATACGTGCTTGTCTCTCCAGCGATAACCCCTGGTGGGGTTTTCGGTCCCACCAAATTGCGCCCACTTCTCATCGTACGAGGCATCGCCGGCTTCTTCGGAATTTGGGGCTTCTACGTCTCTCTGCGCTATCTCGCGTTAGCTGAGGCGACTCTGATCAACTTCCTTGCGCCGGTTTTAGCCGCTCTTCTACTCGGCTTGTTACCAGGCCAGCAGCGCTGTTCCGTCGCTCAAATGCTCGCAGCTTTAGTTGCGGTTCTGGGTTTGCTCTGCGTACTGCAGCCTTGGAACGCTCATGTGACGAACACGCCCAAGGACCATGCGCTGGCTGTTGGTGCCGCCCTAGTTGGTGTTGTCGGTGGCGCAGTCTCCTTCTTGACGATGTCTTGCCTAGGGGGGCACGTACACCCGATCACAACCGTTGCATACTTCGCACCTATTTGCACCGTACTCAGCGGCGCATCGCTCATCATACAGCAACAGAGCTTGAGCTTCCCAGCGACCGCTGTACAATGGCTGCTCGTCTGCATCTTGGGTATTCTGGGATTCGCCATGCATTGGCTCATGGCAGCCAGCTTGATGACTGGCGATTCAAAGAGAGCGCTTCACATCGTTTACGTGCAGGTAGTGTTCGCCATGGTAGCCGACAAGATTGTGTGGAGATTGGACCCGGGATGGTGGAAGTACGCCGGAGCGCTTTTGATTGTGGGCAGTGCGATATTTGTGGCAGCGACGAAGGAAGACCGAGGATATACGCTTGTTGGAGAAATAGATGTAGAAGAGAAGATCGAGAACGAAGATGCCGGCCCCTCGTATGGGATCGATTAGAGCTGCGGACATTAGTCTAAACGAGCTAACGCTTTGAGAATTAGCCACTATCGTCATCGAGCGGCCGTGTGTGACCAACCTCCCTAATTTCTCCTCTAACCCAGCTAAACCAGTTTGCCTGTTACGAACACCCCCAGCAAGCTGGTGTCTCCTATATCTGACCGTTGACATCGCCTCATATCACCATATTCATGTCGCACATTAAATTCGAAAGTTTACTGAATCTGGCTCTTCATTTATCTCCTATACAAGCCCATGCATCATCGTAAGATGAAGATTATTCATAGCTCCCTGTCGTCTTTCAGAGGACTCGTCATGTCTGTTCATTATGGTGTGTCGTACTTTGTTGTCTCAAGTTCCGTACTCGACAAAGTATCCCCGATGCATTCGTTTTCCTTTGCAAACCTCTGTCGGCTTATCCCACTGTGGGTCGCGCTTGAAGTCGGTCGAATAGGGGGACGGATCAGCGCATACAAGACGTCCCGCATTTCCCTTGCCATCGTTGTAGTAGCTGCATTCCTGGCGGCCATCATATCTGACTTTAACCGTGATCTGGCGGTGTGGTTAGTCTTGACTCTTACTGAGACGTGGACCGCAGGTACGGTCAGGACATTACATGATCGCTGAGACAATAGTGGGAAACGTTGCGCTTACTTTAGTTGGAAAAGGCGGACTGTCTATGTTGGCGGTGCCAGGATGAGGCCATAACTTAACCAGCTCGAATTGCTCGTCAAGGCCGCACATGTCGACTCCAATGCCCCGAGGGCCCTGGAAGAGCCACCAGAAGTGGTTGCCGAGCATTTCGCCGAACACGAGTTGAAGCGAACTATCATTCTTGTTTGTATTAGTAGAAGCTTGGGAGCCTTTGGGAGATAAAGAGATGTCGTACCGCACGTTCAGTGATATCGGAAGGCGTAGGCTGGGAAATAGGTGAGGCTGCGATAACAGCCAACAGCCCGAAGACCCAGACAAGGATGGTGGAAAGATGAATCATGTTGATTGTCTATTGTTTGCAGTCCGGTATACTTGGTAAGCCGGAAGGTGGGTGGTGGTGGGGTAGACCTGCTTATATAGAAAGAGAGCGGGGTGCCTGGACCTATCAGCAGGGACTCTCACCAGTGAAAGGCGGACAAATTACAGTGGTGATGTGGAGGTTGCCTGGAGAATACATCGAAATGGACAAGACTGTTTCACTTACCATTCTGGCGATTCACATATGTAACGACATCAATCTGGAAGACTTGTCGCCTATGAGTTTGTTATGAGGGATGATTGAGCAAGGTAAGTGCGCATCAGATACACCAGTAAGGATTAGGTAATTTGGTCATGGGCACGCACTTTCAGAGCTAGGTTGTCCTCGATCCAGCTTCAGAGATCAGCCGCTCTTAGTACCTACAAGAGTACATACGATGGTAAGACCGACCGTTGCAACTGATAACCCCCTTGTAGTATTCCGGATCTTGCTCACAGGGCATGATCATCCAATCGCCACAAATCAGTTCCCCAACATCGCCGTCACCGTGCGTCCTCCATACGCAATCGTCATGGTCCATCCACCTGAGGAGTTTGAGGTCCATCTAAAGACTCGTGGTTAGCAACTCCGTATAACCACCATCTAGCAGCATCCAGTGCGATGGATATGAGAACTTACAGCAGGGGCACTCGGGGGATTGTCGATGGCGTCTCGCCTGTAATGGTAGGGGCCATTCATGGAGGCAAATTTGAACGGATCAGGATAGGCACAGGGCTGAACAACTTGGCCAGATGGGCCTTGGAACATTTCCCAGTAGTACTCGGTACCCGATGCTCGGTTAAGGAGGACCTGGATGGAGGCATCGTAGAAGTCCTTTGGACTGGATCAGTAGGTAACTTTTTCTAGATATTTGGAATGCTGACCGAGGAAATTTTGGTATCATTGCCCGGTACCTGTGTGACGGGGTCCTTGGTAGGGTAAGCGGAAGCCGTGCCCAGTAAGAAAGCGACTATGCCGATGAACAGTGAGAACAGCATTTTCGTATTTGCTGGTGCAGTCTTCAGTCCAGTATGTGTTGCTTGTTTCTACGAGTAGTGTGAGAAAGCATGATATCACAGAGCCAGTTCTTATCGTGAAGACCTTATAAGCTGGGCAAAACTAAGGGGCTGACACGTAGATGGCGGACTACTCGGGTGTCAAACGACGTAGGTCGGATCAAAGCGAACAAACACCGCCCTCCTAGTGAGGCCTTACCAGAAGTAGACAGATGACCATGATACGGATCGTGAATTTACCCATCGTCTAGGTCGGTAATCATCTATTTACTAAGAAGAAGTCTAGTACTTCAGTAGTTCTACCCGTTACGGTGACGATCCATCTAACTTCACCATCTTCAGTACGCTCCTTGGACGAGGAAACGATTCGTTTGCTGAGTTCAATTCCATGGCCCGACCATATCAGTCTACCAATTACAAGCCCAGCCCCGATGGACCGAGAAGCCATGGCAATTGATAGCACCATCGTTCCAGCTCGCGTCTCGCTCGCAATTCATAATCATCCAATCGCCACAGATGAGTTGACCAGGGTGACCGCCGCCGTCGGTTTTCCACTTGCACTCGTTCTTGCTATTGTCCACAAGGGAAAGCTCCATCTGCAGAACGGTCAGCCACCTATCCCTTTTATATCTCTAGAAACCATTTCTTGTGTATATCGAACAAGTTTTACCTACCGCAGGTGGGTTCGGGGGATGATCGATATCATTTCGTCCGTAACCGAAGACACCGGACATGGCCGCGAGACGGAACGGTTTGTGGTTTGTCCCGCAAGGGTTTGCTTTCTTGCCGTACGGACCTACAAACAACTCCCAACAGTAGTCCCTGTATGATTCCCGATCAAGCATGATCTGGATGGAGTTGGTGTATCCCTCAGCTTGCTGTGATTGGTTAGCAAAACTGAGCGACTGGACAAACGCTGGAAACTTACAAGGCCGTGTGTGGTGCGGTTATTCTGCAACTCCATGCTCAAGTTCTGGATAGGTGTTGCGAGACTGGAGCCAAGCAAGAGGCCTGCGTACACATATATAAGGAAAGTGAACCACGCGAACATGGTGAGTGGTTTGCAAGTTTGCTCCTTCGAGTGGTGGCAGTGCAACTCGGTGGTAAGGTAGAAATAAACGAAAAGTCTACGCTGAGGAGCTTTTATTCTTTGTGGTACTAGGCGAAGCTGACTTATCCATCTGGCGGTAAAAGACCGGAAAACTTAGGACGTGCGTAGGATAAAACGAGGTCACGGATCTGCACGTATTCAAGCACATGAGAACGAGGGTGAAAGAGAATGCAACTGTGATATTTTCATTCATGCTACACAGAACAGTGTATCATCTCCATAGCTAAAGGTGTGGATCAAGAGTTCCAGTCATGGCCTAAGAAAAGCCTGGTTCCCCACCGCCATCACTCTGCGGGTAAGCGCTTGCCCATGTTCAGAATTCACAAACCCAAGCGGCAGCATAGCGGGGACGTGGGTTTCCGCAAGTAATCTGCTGTCCGTACCTAAAATCCTTTTTGCAGTCGACTATGTACTCGTCGCCGCAATGGAATTGACCAGGGTCTACACCAGTAGCGTGATATACGCAGTTGTTACGGTTGCCGTACTTGATCTTGACGTCGAACTGGAAAAGACTTAGCAGACGCGACGCATATAGCGTGTGACAAATATTAACTCACCTCCGGGACGAAAGGTTCATAGTTCTGGGGAAAGGGAGGCTGAACCATATCTAGCTTGTCGGTATGCCATCCGGGCTCGCCATGATAGACCTTCTCGAAGCGCGTATCACCGCAAGGGTACACAGCAATGCCGCTAGGTCCTTGGAAGATATCCCAAACATAGTAAAAGGGCTTGACCTCCGAAACTTGGATCTGTAGAGAGTAGGGGTAAGGGCCCTGGCCTCGCAGTACGCCCTTTAGTGCGTCAGTATGAAGCTTCGTTTCAATAGTGATGCGACTTACTGGAGTGACGTCGCTTGCGGTCTCTTCAACGGGTGCGGCAAGAGCGAAGCCGAGGCAGGCGATAATGCCTACAAGGAAGGTGATCCAAGAAGTCATCGTTATCGAGAATCTTTGGATGCTTTGGTCGTATGATGTGAGTAAGTATTCTGTGAGTTGATAGACTGTGTTCGACTGGTGTAGGAGACAGAAAATATCACTGGATCGTGGTAACGGGCGTGAGCAGGCAGACACGGCGGCCAAAGAAGGCTAGTGTCCAGTGGAGCAAACAGAAATTACCATAGTGAGAGATTCGAATTTTAGGAGATAGTCAGTGCGCAAGACTGGTGAGAGATCTACATCTATCTCACGCCCTTCGCCATCGCCTTATGGACACTGGGCACAACCGCTTAGAACTCGCAATTATACCCTCGATGGAACTTCGGCAGCTGATCATCATCACACTTGATAGTAGCCTCATCGTATCTAGGGTCCTTCGCGCAATCAATGATGTAGTGGTCTCCACATCGGAATTGCCCAGCATCGATACCCGTGCCTATGTACTTGCAGTCATCGTAATTAGAGTATTCGATCTTGGTGTATACCTGTTCAAGAATTGAATTAGCATGCAAATGCAGCAAAAAGGCCCAACCTCAAGCTCAATGGGTGGTCAAAGTACCTTGCGATCGGGAAACGGGGGATGGTTGATAGCATCATTCTCATCCTGGAACATCACACCATAGAAGACGCGCTTGAATTCCGCAGGCATCTGGCCGTCGTGATCCTCACAGGGATCGACAGCGATACCTTGAGGGCCTTGGTAGATGAACCAGCGGTATTGGTGGACCCCAGCGACGCTAAGAAGGAGTTGGAGGGAGTATGGGTATTGCAGTGCCTGATGAACCTCGTTGTTAGTGAGAACGTTTTACGATACTACAATCTAGGTGGGTTTGCTTGCATTTGTGGTGCCGCGCCTGACTATGGAGGTGTCGTTGCTGGCAAGCATCTCGACGGCAATCGCTGAAACACAGCTCAGGTAGGCAAGTAGCCAAAGAAGCGAAGCCATCAGCGTTGTCATGATGGTCGGCATGTGGGCGAAGTAGGAGTGTGTGTTCAAGGTCGCAGGATGAAGGAGATGTTGTAACTCAAATTTGGGGACAATGGAGCGGCAGAAGGTCAGGTGTTATGGAGTAAGAGCGGTAGTCAGTTATGGGAAGTGGTCAGTGTGATTCAAAAACGAGGTCTGCACAGGGCAAGAACACTGTGACACACGACCCTACACGTGCCTCTATCCTTTAACCGTGCTTGCAACATGACTCGTCGACATGAATAAGTGAATTTGCGTACTCCATGCGCAAACGCGGAAACCCCACTGCCAAGGCTTTTGACTGTCGATGCCAGTCAACTGTACCTCCCCCAAAATTTTGTGCTTGGTACTAGCAAACAGATCCTCGATGATACTCCTCGTCTTCACCACAATGATAAACCGAGTAGTCGGAGGCCATGTACTACAAGTCCTTGCGATATCGCCCTCAAATATTGACAAAATGAAGAGACTTGGTATCATCACACGTACAGAAATGGGGTATAATGATTAAACATAGAGATACCCTCCCTTGACAGGGCAGGAGACATAGCGTGCAACTCTTTCATTCATTCGTAACAGACCGTAAAGCATAATCTAATCGAAACAAACTGTGCTCAGCCCTCTGTCTTTCACCGCCTTGATAACGCTTCCTTTAATCCGCACAAGGGCGCCTTCCCATTGCTCCTTCGGGAAGCTTCCCTTTTGTGCTTCGTCACTGATGACATAGTCAATCCATTTCACCATACCGACTGCCTTGGTCATGTTCTTCTCTTCTAGGACTACTTTGTTGAGATATTTGATCAATGCAACAACGTCCTCGTTATAAGGCCCTTCATCCATGAAAGCACCAATCCATTGCCTCATGGCACCTCTCAAATCTGCCTGCGCTGAGAGTTTCTGAGTGGTAAACGTCGGTTTTGCAGGTCGAGAGACTTTGATCTTAGGTTCTTCGTTACGTGCTTGTGGTAGGGGTGCAGATTTGGTCTTTCTGGTTAAGGCGAGACAAAAGGAACTCATCTTGTCAGCTTTGTGTTGCGCGAGAACTTCTTTGCGAACATCTTCGGGTAGCTCAGCGAGGAAGTCTAGGTCAAGGTCATCTCTTTCAGACGGCTGGGTAATATCGCTTGTTTCGAAAGCATCTTCGCTTGGACCTGCGGAGTTCTCCCTGCTCACACTCTCTCGTGCCGGGTTCTTGAGTGAGATAAAATTGGCTTGAGTGAGTGTCTTGCCAGTCATGCTAATGGACTTTGCTTGTGCAGCAGCGGCGAGCATTGCGGATCTTGGCGGACGACCTCTACCACGTTTGACTGGCACAATGGGTTTCTTAGCTGGGATACCTATGATCCTATTCTTGCGTGGCGATTGAGGTAGTAACGTTTGGTCCACGCCCTTTGGACGGCGGGATGGAGAGAAGGGCGTATTGTTGGCATCATACTGCGCAAGTACCTCGGCACGAACTTCTGCTGGCAGAGCAGCGAGGATATCAGGGTCCAGTTGAGACTGGTTGGGAAGTGCTGTTGTGGCGAAAGCCATGGCTTTCGTAGGTGTGTTGGGGTTACCTCTTTTTTCTACAACTTTTGCGGGGGTGGGTGATGATTGGCGCGTTTGGCGGAGGAGTTTTGATCGTATGTCTTCTGGTAGCTCGGCAAGTACATCAGGATCCACCTGCGTAGGCATGATGAACTGTGTGCCTAACATGTTTAGCGGACGGCGAGAAGGTGTTGATGCATTGAGTGTCGGAGCGCCAAATGGAACATGTTCGCTTCCTGACGATGCTTTTGCCTTTCGTGGGGTCTCTGGATCGTCTTGAATGGGGTCCTCTACGATCGCTTTTGCAATCGGGTTTTCAACAGGTTTTGGAGCTCGCGCGGCACGGACAGGTCCGCCTTGGCCGACTTTGAACTGTAATCTTCGCTGAGAGCCTTCAAGACTGCCATCTGTAGCATTCTTCATAGGCTCAAGCTTCGTCAACTGCATACCGAACCCTCGAAGCTCACCCGGGGTAAAGCCCAAGCCGCGCAGCATAGCTAATGCCTCTTTCGTGAGAATTTCCTTGGCATTAGTGGCGACACCTAACATCACACTCCTGCTATGTGTGTCGCATTTGCCGTGGCCGAGATGCTTGGGAGGGTCGAGAGGAGCATCGGGTGAGCGTCGCATAACCTTCATTGAGAAATGCCTGCCTTTTACTCTCTGACTCAACAATCGTTTCGACAGCTCTCCACATAAGCTTGCGATGAAATCATTAGCTTGTTGTTGATTCTCGAACCGAACGCCCCAGTTCACTTCAGCAGAGATAGACTTGCGAATATCTTGCTCACCCAGCTCTTGGCGGTCAATGCCTCTTGAGTACTCGTATAACTTTTCTCCAGTCTTGGGTCCTAAAATCTGAACGAGTCTTTCTTTTGTGAGCTCGCGAATATCCTTGACAAGTTTCACTCCTTGGTCTTCAAGCTTGCCGCCGATCGACCAAGCAACACCAGGAAGATCTTGTACCTGGAGCTGGCCCATGAAGTCTAAAACCTCTTCGGGTTTGATCTGGTACTGCCCAGCGGGCTTTGCTTTGCGTAACGCTACTTTAGCGAGCAAGACATTACTACCGATACCGACGGAGACATTACAACCAGTCTTTAACCTGACCTCATCCCGTAGATTCAATGCAATTTCCTCGGCCTTTGCTTGCTCGCGATGAATGCTGCCTTCAGAATGTTGCTTCCCATTGCTACCACCCGCAGCGATGCAAAGGTTCGAGACATCGACGAGCGCTTCGTCGATACTTACACTCTGCACCAATCCACCTGTAGCAATGATGGCCTCATAGAACGTACGACTAGTGGCTTCGTATTCAGGAAAGTCATATGGCAAGATCTTGAGTTCCGGACAGAGCTCCTGAGCTCGCCTCATCCACATGCCATTCTTGACACCGTACGTACGCGCTGGGTAGTTGCAACTTGCAATTTCAGAGCCACTACCTTGGCCGTGTGCAACCGCTGCGGGTTTGTCTTTGTATTCTGGGCATTTCTTCAAGCTGACAGCGGCGAAGAAACTGTCGAAATCCACGTGTAGGATGTAGCGCCGGGCGCCTGATGTGCATTTTTGTTTGGCTTTCTGCGAAGAGCTCTTCTCGTCTGCTATTGCCTGCATTTCTGCTTTCAGGTCGGCTTTCCAAGTGGATAGGTGATGCAGGCGTGATTCGCGATAGTATTGCTCTAGAAAGTTAGGATCTACGACGGTAGATTTGCGAACGTCCGGGTCTCGTAAAAGTATGGCATTATGCTCTTCTGCAGTAAGCTCCCGTCCCTTAGGCTTTAGGGCGTTTGGCGCGCGCGACGTCTTTCTCGATTTGGATTCGATCTCATTCTCGTACTCGATCTGTTGAGGTAGAGGTGGGCTCGGGTCGGTATAGAGGCTGTCGTGGACATCGTCGATAATCTCATCTACATCCGCCGGGACCACCGCAGGGCTAGTCTTGGGTGGTGTGACGAGCTTCGCAGCCCTACTTGGCTTTCCAGATATGGGTCGGTCAAGCACGTTGTCCGGCTGGTGAGAGGGCGACAGATCCTTGATGTCATCCTCTGATGTGGGAAGTCGCTGCTCTTCATTCGAGGAGTGCGAGCGTGTACCGATGGCTGGTGTTGGCGTACTAGAAGGACCGGCCTGACTACCCCTCAACTGACTTGTGTACCAACTGGCATCTGTCTGATCCCGATAACCCCTCGTCTTGACGTTTGCCGTGCTGGTCATTCCATCCTTACCAAAAGCCAGGACGTTCTGCTTCTCGCCTTCGTCTACCACTCGGTATTCGCTCCATGGCAGCAACTTGCCCGCTTGTATGCTGTCGACGACCCACGCGGGCTTTACGATTCGGTATCGCCGGAATTCAACAACCTTCTTCGGCGTTAGACTACTGGCGATGATGTGCGTCACCGTAGTCTTCCCGTCCAGGTATTGCATGAAGCCGCCGCCATGCTGTACTATAAGGGTATGCAGATCGTTGAGCGATGGTTGGGTGTAGCCGTTGACATGTGCCACGACCCCTTTGAATATCTGGGGCTTGTCACCGGCCTGGCGTCGGATATCGGCATCGAGGTTTTGGAGTTTGATCTTCTTTCGCCTAAAGTAGTCGTTAAAGCCGCCAAAGGCCGAACCCTTGTACTCTTCCCCATCCTCGCCGTCAAACTTGTGGCTGGCGATGCGCTTCCGGACCGACTCGGAGTTCTTCTCTAGGCGTGAGCCCATGGTGTCAGTCGTATGGTGGGTCAAGAGCGTTCATCGGGGCCGGGGTCATGATTGAGCGTCGCGAGGGTGTGTCGGCTGCGACATGTCGATATTGGTGTTGGTGATGAGAGGCGCGTCGTTGAAAGCGCGATAACGTCACGCTAGCAAGGCTAAGTGGATCGTTCTGCCGGCGGTGAAAGCACGCTAAGAGAAAGCTGCAGGACTTGGCGAACTTTTTCTACCTCTCCAAGTCGCTGCTCTCAAGTTTCTCGCTTTTCACTACTATCCGGCTCTACCAGCTGACCCCGAGCTGTGCAATTACCTGAGCAAAGAACACTTCAGACGACTTTCTCCTCCCACCAATTTCGTCAGCTTCTCCGATTACGAACATACGATCACTTTCAACATGTCGTCCATTCCTGTAGGCGTCTACGGACGTCGCATTCCGGCTGGAGGCATTCCCATCCTGGCTGCTGTCGACCAGTCTGTCACTGTGAGTATTCTCGATGCCTCGTGTGGCTTGCTTGCCCATGCGAAAGTTTTGCGCCGAAATTTCCAAAGAAAATTCTGTCGCATTCGCAAATCGATAAAAGCGTTCTAACCATGACCAGTTCCGCATTACTATGGCCGCTATCGACCCAGATGCTGAGCCCCAAATCGATGATGAGCACAAGCACCCTCGCGCAACCCTTAAGCTCATCCGCGTGCCCTCAGACTATGACAGCGAGGATGATGATGATGAGGACTACGAGGAGGGCGACATCGAGGCCATCGCTGCTCGTCTG